CAGCATATTTAGTTGCAATTATGCTGATTGTGAGAACTTGACTGAATGTATTGGAAAATGTATTGCAACTTGTGACTCACACAGTATAATGCAATTTAATTTACCTCATAATCTTCGTGAGTCATTTTCAAACTGTCTCTCGCTTTCCACGAACAGAAACGAGTCAATCGAACCCAAAAATGTTGATGGCAGAGGACGAGAATTTTCTTCGCAATGAAAAAAAGAAAGCGGACCATCAGCGAGCTGCCAAAAGAAGCAAATATTTCTCCCACTGTGTCATAAGGGAGAATGGGCTGTTTTGCTTAGCTGCAGAATTGCAGTGAGCAAAGGAAGCCGAGGCACAAAGATATGTATGGAACTCACTGATTACCATTATATAAACAGATGTGGTTTCTAATGAATACCACCATATTGCCACACAGCATCTGAGCAGAATAGTGCATCCTGGCTGCGATATTGTCAGTGGTTTTAATCATTAGCACCCCCTGTTCTCTCCGACTGTACAACTTGAAATAGTTGCTGTTGTCTTTAATTGTTTTCCTCAATAACCTCACTTGCGGTTTTTGACTGCGTAAGCACTTTCACGCTGATGAAGTTATCTACAGTTACCTGGATGGTGTACTAGTATTGCTCACAAAGTCAGTTATGGAAATCTGCACATATCTCACACTCCCAAATTAACTGGGCACAAAGGGAGGACCACCAACCAATTTTCAGCCATTAGTAGGAGGATGTGTCATTGGCACTTTTTTTCAGTGCCAGCTAACAGACGATTATTTTTAGGTATTGGTTGTGTTGTAGAATTATTTAGTGCTCATGCATATAACGGTGGAAGAAGTTTCATATTATCTTTGCTTGGAGGCTTGGCAAGTTTCAAATGTTCACACAAATGGTGCAGTCATTTCCAATAAGTGGACAAGTTCACATCCTGCATAAATAAGCCTAAATGTTAGGGTTATCAGAACAAATTGTTCCTTGGATACTAATCAGTACTCAACATTACTGTTGTATTGAATATTAATTATCATCACTACTGATATGAACAGAGCTGTCTTCACACAGCCCCTCCAGCCACTAGCAGCTGAACACATGAGCAGTGTTTGAACAATAAGAGAACTGATCAGAATATTTTGAGGAATTTCAAGATTTCAGTAGACCATTCCTTGAAAGTGCTAAACCGCTTTGATAACCTGGCCAACAAACATGTTAGCCTTTTAACTATTAGTGATTATCCAATAGGCACAAACCCAGCCTCAGGGGCTCACAAGCTTATGTGCTAGCTTGTGAGCTAGTGCTAGTCCAAAGCCTGCATAAATAGGAAGGTTGCATAAGGAATTACATCCTGTGTAAGGCATCCGGCTGTGGTGACCCCTTGGGATATGAGGGAGCAGCTGAAAACATATATGTAAAGTGTATATCGCCTTACAGTTACACCTTGTAGGTATTTCTTTACCTCTTTTTTTTTTTTTTCTGTGCTACATCCAAAATCTTGAAATAGTATTGTCTGATGGTATAGTTGTAATTTTTTGCCCCCATGATATCTTCAATGGTATTTTCCAGTATTTTCCTGGGTATCTGTATCGAGTTTGAAATTCTAGTATTCAACCTAACACATGCACATATTATACTACATGAAAATGTACTACCTGAAGTATCCAAAGTAAGAAAATGCTTCGGTCTCTTGCTTTTGTATGGCATGAGCAGTTTAAGAAATGAGTCTATTTTCATAACCTGTTAATTTTAAAAATTGAGCCAAACCTGAATTGCCTGTGAATAAAACAAAATCCTAAAATTGGGAAATTAACTGAATTAAATGAATCATACATTTTCCAGTACAGTAGCCTTGCATGTATCTAATCCCACAATTTACAGTGTTTATAAATGATGCGACTGCATAGTTTTCATGTAAAGGTTGTTATGACAGCTTAAAATTTTTACCTGCAGCTGCTGATTCAGTATTCACACGCTAGACTGGAGAAATTGGATCGCTCCCTGATTTGTCCAGCTTCCCTGTGGGACTCTGTTCAACGACTCCCATGGAGTATTTCCACTATTGTCTAGGAATCCTCAGAGACAAGAATAAGTTTATGCTGGCTTCATAATTTTCATGCTGTGACCACAAAAGGACATTTGTTTGGGCCTCTTGTCTCCCGGTCATTTCCTTATTGAGGGTTAACGGGAGGAGTGGCTCTGTGGACTGTTGCGACTGACAATCCTACATTATGTGAACTAGTGCTGATTCACAAAGGATTCATTGTGAAGAGCGGTGGCCCTGGGAGAGTGGAATGGGTCTAGGTTAGGTGACAGAGAGGTGTGGGTTCAGGGGCCTGGGGCTAGGGGCTAGAGGCACTATGGCTGGCCAAAAGTGGGGGCGTGTATGGTGCTCAGCTGACACAGTGCTGGAGCTGGGAGGGGGTACATGTGTGAGAGGAACCCCGTGCTGGTCGCCACACAGCTCCAGCAAACATTTACTGTACTCCCACTGCGCTGCCTCCTACTACAGTCAAAGCACTGAAATCCCTCTCAGAGGTGAGCTGCTCTATGAAAATAGGTTCCTAATCGAAGCTGCTGTCAGTCTGATTTATTTTCTGTGTTCATGAGAATCCAATGCAGTGCTTATTAAACCAGGGCCTTAAGCTGCTTGTACAACTGTTCCCAGAATCAGACATTTTTTGCCGTTTATCCTCTTCTGACTCCAGCTCAAGGACAAGCCCACATGTGTGGTGTACTCTAGATTTGTTTACACAGACAGATGGCCGAGCAGTCCAAAGTCAAAGTCCACAAAAGCCCTTTTTATTTTATTTTTTTCCTGCTGCACTGCTGTTCTGCTTGACCACTAGCTCAAGACCTTAACCTCCCTCCTCTCACTCTCTACTGGTCCTCCTCTCTGTCTTTTAAATCTTCAACGTCTCTGTGAGGGTGAGACCGGGGCTTTCAGGTCAAGCTGACTCCAGCCTCTCTGGCTAGCCACTATTGACCAGGACTCAGTCCTTGCCCAGCTGTCCCAAGGGTTGTTTACATGGCTCTGTGTCAAGTCCGGCTGTTGCCCTGGCCTCTCTAGTGTCAAAAGCCCTTCGGTTACAGGCCATTTTAAAGTTGTTGAACCAAAACAATGGCCAATCGAAATTTTTATTGCATGCATACACCGCATAGATGTTAGTCTTGTTAGACTAACCCACTGTCCTCCTGCTCCTATTTTGCAGTGCCAAAATTTTGACTGTTACAAAATAGAAAGTGGTAAAATAGATGAGTAAAAAAGTGACACTTAATAGCAACAAAGTAAACATGTGGCCTCTCATCTTCCCTCAGGGTGGCGTTACCACAACTGTGGATTTCTCTGTCCACATTAGAGGCCATAAATGGGCCTCAATTGCTCTGTTACTGATAGGTTACAGTTAAGCTGGACTATTTGGGTCCTTGATTCAGATCTATTGGATCACTACGTGACCTTTTAATTTTCTTTCCCTTTCCAGCTCTCATTACTCTCGTAATGAGTGCAGATTTGCTGAGGGCTGTAATTTATCATCTTTGGTCTGCTATGTTAAAGCTTGTTGATCCCTGCACGTGGGGTTGTTTTAGTGAAGGTAGAGCAGTTGATAGAATTTTGGTGTAAACTTTGTCAGTTTGCTGTATTTTGTTTTGCTAGAATGCTGTTGTTTTATTGTATTATAAATCCCTTTACATTAGTATGCTTTGTCTGTCTTTTTTTTTTTTTTTTTTTTAAATAAGGGATTAAAGAGAATTTTTGCATTTGTTGTTCAGTTGACTTGAAATTAAAGTTCATGGGGCTCCACCAAGACCATTTAAGCTCAATAAATGTATGATATTTCTAAAGCCAGCAAGCAAAACTATTTAATAATCGTGATCTCAGTTTTTTCCAGAAAAGAAAATCGTAGATATTTTTGTCCTAAGCTAGTAGAACAGATTAGATACGCAGTGCTCACTTACTTGATTGAACAAATTTAAATCCCTCAGTCAACATAGGATTATTCAAGCTTTTTTTTTTTTTTCTTTTTTCAGGGCTCGTGGAAGTCATTTGGAGGTCAGACTGAATTGAAGTCAGGTGTCAGAGCTTTGTAATATTTCTGGTTGCTTTTGTGCAGTTGTTTGCTTTCTTTACTGTCTTCATAAGAAAGCAACTGCACAAGTCTTTTTACTCCTTGGTGCTCTTAGAAAGCCGTGATTTTATAACACTGTAGATGAGTAATGCAGTGCCATTGACTGGTATAACTAGATTATATGATCTTAGTCTTAGTTCATTGTAAATAAGCCGTGGTGCATTTAAAAAGCTGTTGTGTACTTACACAAACTTCCATTGAAACCCTAAGTCATTGTACACAAAGTGGTATTATTCAGAAAGTCCTGTGGTCATGGTATTTATTGCTGACAGATGGCATCCGTGTCAGTCTGCATAGCTGTGTTTGCAGATCGTGGCGAGGCATCAGACAGCGAACCACGTAATGAACCTATGAACTTGTACTGTAACAGGCACTTCTTTCACAGGGCCATTCGTGCAGTTTTAGTGCAGTCAGTTGAGTTCATTTGAGAAATTTGTCATTCATTTTTATCTTATTTTTAGGTACATGTGCTTATTTAACTGATCCTACAAATAAAATTGCACCTTCACTAAAAATGTAATACAGGCTTGATTATTGACTTCATAACAGTTTCATGCTGATAACATCAAAGCTGCAAAGAACAGCAGCTTTTCCTCTTCTAAAATCGTGTTTTTCCTAGAGCAGTGCTGCATATGTAAGGCAATTATGGAATTAACGCAGTTTAAATGCTTTGACGCATATCTCAAATCACAAAATACTGAAAGTGAGCCGTGACAAGAACATTTGCATTTGCACAGACTGTTATATCAGTGTGCGGCATGCCAAGCTTGGCATGAAATTTCATGCTGGGGCGGATTGTGTGAGAAGGCAGACCATGTGGAGGGATTTGCGAGCACGTCTGTTAACTTTCCCACTTACCACTTTCTCCCTGTGCCTCTTCAGCCCAGCACGCTTCCCCAGGGTACAATCAATATGAACCAGTGTTCTGACGTCATCGACGGCGAGTCCAGGACAGGTCAGAAGAACTCGCTGTGCATCCTGACCCCTGAGAAGGAGTCCTTCATACGGGCCGAGTGTAAAGAAATCATCAATGGGTAAGACGTAAAAATGATCATAGTACTCATAATCATCTACTATATTAGGATTCGCAAATGCACATCCTGCCGTTATTTGGATACATATATAGAAAGAAATGACTTTAGGTGGGCAGTGTGGTTTGTGTTGCTCTGTCTTCTGGGTTGTATGGACAGTGGTGACAGAAATAAAGTGGTATGGCTGTGTGTAGCTGCTGTGGCAGCCAAACTGCTCTGCCCCCTGCTGTCTCTTTTGTGCTGTGCTCTTCAGATAGTTGTAATTTACGCTGCAGTGACAGTGCACATTCTTGAACTGTTGGCTCTGCCTGCTTTTCTAACCCTCTCCCTGTCTTAACAAAGTCCTCTACAACTGGACCTAGATTACAGTACTAAAATGTAATCTTCATACTTCAGGCTTCATTTGAGCCTGCAGTTTAAAGCGTGTTTCTGCACTGCGCTCTCCCTGGCCGGCTGATACACATTATAGCTATTCTTAGGGAACTGTGACTCACAGCACCCACTCCTCATCATGCTACCTGCTGTATCGCTATTCACCTCCCACTCTCCTATCATCATCTGGCATGCATGTGTTTGTTCTAGGCCATCACAGAACCATATTAGCTTTTCAAGTTTGTCATTTCCTGACAGTGGAATTTATTTTTCACTATGTTGTTCTCCTCTAAGATGTCTTTTGACTTTTATTAGAGTTTGAACACAGTGCCATGTGTTGGTGTTCTGTCCTAAAAATGTTGATCACTAGATTTGCTAACCCTGTCCGTGTCAGCACTTCATTCAGATGATGTAAGGATCTAGATTCTCTGTTACCTGTATAAATATTTGTGGTGTTAAAGCACCGTGGTTTACCATATCCAACAAAATGCATTATCCCCATCTTTTTAACTAAAGCAGAACTTCAAAAGAATGAATATGCAAACAGAAATTAAGATCTGTTATGTTCTATGATTTTTGTTCTCTACCATTTTCTTATTTTCTATCATAAATATGCTCTTAGTTTTTGGTGGATTCTCAGATTAAAAATGGACACAGAATCACAAAATGAAGTAAGCATATGTACGTGTCATCCCAAAAGCTCAGACTTCAGATACTCCTAAATGCTTTGACACAGCCAGGGTTTCTTTCTACTTTTACCTGTATTTACTGTCAGAGAGTAGATCTTGCTAATGTGGTCATCTCGGACACAGCTCAGGCTATGAGCTCAGACTCACCTGCTGTGTAAACCTTCTGTTTGTGAGAGGCAGCCAAACTGAACAAAGTAGTTCCAAAGAGAGGAAGGCCTAAAAGGGAAGCAGCTTGTTTCAGGCAGAGGATGAAATAAGAGGCTACACAAACGCTCAGTATGATGCATATTAGAATTCAATGAGATGTATTTTGAACTGTGAATTTGTAAAAGCTACTTTACTAGAGTCCAAGACTACAAATATGGAGCTGGAATAGGCTACCTTTTAAGAAATGAAACAGTGCTGACTTTGCTGCCTTAGCCTTTAGTTTAGTGTTGTAAATGTGTTATTAACGTATCGCTTTGTAACTATAACATATGTCCGGGCATGCTTCGTAGTTTATTCTTTGCTGCAGAAAACTTTGTCCCTTTGTATATGAATCCATTAAGCATGCAGAGTTTATGCAGTCAGAATTTAAGACTAGAAGAGCACTTACACTGTTTCATTATTTGCAGGTGGCAGGAGGCTCTGACTGTGTACCCCAGGACAAACAAACAGAACCAGAAGAAAAAACGCAAGGTCGATCCACCCACTCACCAGGTAATGAACTTATTCTTTCTTTGCCCAGTGAACAACAGCCAAATATAAATTGTGATATTATATGTCATGAAGTGTATAGTTTTCTTTTCTTTTTTTTCAGTTTAATATCGGTGGTTTCTTGCAACATTATTTAAAAAAATCCAAAGCTTGGGACTTGCATGTATAAATGTCAAAGAACATTTATGTTATATTCTTTCAACGTGTTTTGTATGAGGGAGAAATATGTTTAATAACTCATAATGAAGCATCTTTATGTTTCTGTGCTTATGACAGCTCTGACATCAGGATTTATGTGCTTGAGTTCATGTGGCTGTCCACAGCCCCAGTCAACCCCACATTCATGAATGGGCTTTCTCTTAGATGTCTGGGGGAAAATATGAACTCACAAATGAGCTGATTAATTAAAGCTCAGAGGTGGTTTTTGACTGTAGCGCAATGATTATGACACAGTTTTACCCAAATATGTGCAGTAATAGGATTAAATGATGACGGGATCACAGGCTGTATTCAGGAGGTTTGTCTGTGTCAACATAGAGCTGCAGCTTGACCCTTATGTTTTAGATATTGTGAACATTATAAATTATCCACATGTGGCAGTTGCTTCATTCCTTGTCAACAACAAAGAGAGCATATATTTAAGGATGACCTCTGCCATGGAAATATGCAGAACGGATGCTTCTCATTCCTCTCCAACTACAACAGCTTTTTCCCCCCTTTGAGAGGGAGACAGATGTAGTTTTTCCGCCAGTGACATGCTCAACAGTTTAAACCGCCTATATTTACATTCCTGTGTCACATGATATGTCAGTTTCGATAGACAACACGCCTCATACTTGTCTAATTTAACTCCAGCTATCAGTGAAGCACACATCGTGTTACATATTGTTTCTTCGGTGTTGTAAATCGCATGTGGTACTGTTTTCCACAATTAATACCTGCTTTATGCTTCCAGCAGTGCATAATTGCGTAGATATGGAACAGTATCACAAGGTTGGCAGGCAGCAAACATTAGTCAGCTATCAAAATATTCCTGAACAAACAGTGAAGGGAAATGTTGACAACTGCATGTGTGCTGTAACAACATGCAGCAGCAACTTTGATCCTCTTGCACATGAATTTGCTGGTGCGCTCAGTTTCATTGTCATGTCCAGCAGCTGCCATCACACCTGTCAGGCTTTTTCAGTCCGTGTGGTGATTAAGCATTTGGTGCTTATCAAAGCATTCCCATTCAGGACTTATCGAGGATTTAAATCCTTAACTTTTATTGGGTCGCCACAAATATTTTTGTCATTTCACACTGAGCTCCTGAACTCTTAACAAGATGCATGTTTAAGTCTGTGAGCTGGAAAAGGTGCACTTTGGGTTTTGAACTCCAGTAGTCCTGCCTATTAAACGATCTTTGCAGAGTACATTTAACGGTCTAAAAAGGGTCAAGGTCAGTAATGTGTCTTTCAAGCCCGTCTTGTAACGCCTTTCAGAAGCACAATGGGAGCAAAAAGCAGTTTTTGCGTCAAAGCAAGTTTTGTATTCCCTGGCAGGTAGGAATAAAAGAATAATGGTCCAGAGTGAAGATGAAATATAAGAATATGATATAATAAAATTGCACAGACCACCCACCATGGCATACCAGTTTGTGTCCCCCGCCCCCCTCCTGTGTGAGGCCAGGCCAAGTTTGTGGTGCATACAAACAAACGTACAAACTGAACTTCATTGTCTGGTTCCTCTAATGACGGCGCCCCGAATCAGACTGTGACCTTGCTTGGCTTATGCAGACTGGCTCATTTACAGAGAGAGCGGCGACACAGACATGACCTTGACTGTGTCTCGCTGTGACCACCAGTTACGTCTGTTTTCATTGTTCTTGTTTCTTTTCTTTGCTGCGTACAGTAACTGAATGAACCTGAAGCTCCTCTTCTCTTCTGTTCACATAATATTTCCTCTGAAAGGTTACTCTTGGATTGCTATTCATTTTTGTTCTTTACTTGTTCATTTTGTTGGTAAAATCCACAATTAATTGGTTATTTAATAGTATGGTACCTATAGAGTTAAACACTATAGGGAGGCATGGGAGTCAAGCCTACAGCTCTAAATCTACATTGTAAACACTTCACTGGCAAATGTGATCAAATTTATATTGTGCCAATGTGACAAATAATTGGGCTACAGCAGTTCTAGTGACTCAATGGTGAAATGCATGTCAGCCAACATTCAAGGAAAAATAAGAAATATGGAGAATGCCAGAATTTTAATTTTTAAAAATGAATCGTTACTGTTGCCTAAAGCAGACCCTCAGTTGTCATGCCATATCCTGACCAGCAGTTGTATTCTATTGTGAATCATGAAGAACTTCTTGTTCTATATTTGTATTAAATATATGTGGGAAAATGAATAAAACCAATAAATATAATCAAATAAGAAAGTAAATTGGGGGATTAATGCAAAGTAATGTAAATAAAGAAGAAAAGGCAAGAAAAGTCAATTCATGTAATATTTTAAAGCCAGTCACTCCTACAGCAATTTATAATAGTTCTGGTGTGTTTAATGGTATGTAACCAACCAATGAGCTAATGTGGTGGGGAGGTATGCATCTGTCAATCCGTCCAGTTTCCAGGAATCACTCCTCCTCGACTATTGGTCACTTTTTAGCGAAACAAAATTTATTTGTCTGTACGTTTGACTGTTGTGAACTGCAGTACAGCAAAACAAACGTACCACTCTTTCTGTACTTCACACATTACAATAAACTGTGAATTGTGATGGAGCCGATGAGCTACTAAGTGGCTGGATGAACTAACCAGATCAGTCAAAGGACTGATGAGCTCTTACCATCCATTCACAAGACTCTACTCCTCTTACAATGTTAGTGAGAATTTAATTGGTCTGAATCCAAGGTCTTATTGCTCAAGGTCATGTTTGTTGTTTTAATTAGATTTTAATTCAATAACAATACAGGGGATGTTTTGTACAGTAATTTTGATGGGCTAATCAGCTTCTACATCATTGACCTTATAGTTATTGATTCAGTCCTTTATTTATTTATTTTTGGCAGTTTGCCATTAACAAAGAGCAGTTTGCTTCATGGTCATTTCACAAGCACAATGCGCATGTTTATGGTTTTAAATAGCCGTGATAACCCTTTAAGATGGCACAAACATCTGCAGTCATATTTCATTGGGTCCAAACATATCTGATGTGTGCCTGTGGGCTTCACTTTTAAATACCGCTGTAGTGGTCAAGGCCACCGCATAATTAGGCTCGGTAATATGTGAGGATGGTCATGCTTTCGCTGCTTGTTTGCTGGCAGGTCCTATCAGTATTGCTTAGGTTATTCGAGTGGATAAATACCCAGCGTTGTGTCGAGGCTTGAATTTTCCACACCTCACTGTGTCAGCTCCATACTTCCACCTGAAAGCTCCCCTCCCACTTGTGCATACTTTACTGGAGACATACCTGTGCACAGTCGTATTTGTCTTGTGGGTAGCGCCCTTTAAGACAAGTACATTGAGTACAAAAAAAATGATGTCGTGTGACGCGTGTGTCATTGTAACTGAAAGTAGTCTGCATTTTTAGTTCTTCTCCATTAAAGCCCTTGACATCTTGTAGTCATGTTTTGTTTCGTATTTATTTTTTTGTTTTGTTTTTTGACTTTAAATAGAAGTCGCAATAAAAAGAGCGGTCCATGAAAATGTTATGTATTGATCATAATGAGCACTAAATGGTAAGCATTTAACATCAAGGGTATTCTGTGATTGGCAGGGTGGAGTAACTCCAAGACAGTGTTTTTCCACTGAGGACATGAATGGGCACCCAGTGAGTTCAGCTTGGCCAAACTTCTTATCCTGCTTCACCTTAAAAAAAAAACAAAACCCTAAATTTTAAAACTCTCGTCCCTCTAAATTAATTTCAGCATATTTTCAATCACTCCAGGTGAAGGGGGAATGAAACGGAAATGCTTTTAGCCTACCTTTGCGATGCCTAAAGAGCAATTCTTTGCACAGCATCAGCATGTTTATGGTGATTTGAATGGGCTGGATGAAAGTGGGCTGTTTGAGGGTCGCTTTCTTTAAAAATCTTCCTCTTTCTTGTTATCTCAGTGATTTTGTGCATCTTCTGATCACTGAAGGGATTTTTGTGATTTGGTGAAATCAGGTCTTTGAACAGCTTTAATTTTGTTTGCATTTGTTAATCAAATCAAGACGTTCTCGGGCACTTTTAGCCAAGGAAATCTGTTCCGACATCATCCACCTCTGCACACTGTCCTCGTGGGGTGTTTTAGTTTGCTCTCGCTATTCCTCATAAGTACGTGTGTTTGTCTAGCTGTCAGTCCCTTTCTCCCTTTTACTGTTCCACCTTCACTCTTCTAGTATTTTACTAGAAATAAAACTTTTTTTATTGCCTAAATGTTTGATTCATATAAAAAATCCAAAGCAAAACATCTTAAAGAGGACAATGATTTAACTCTACAAATGCTTACTAATGTGATCAGAAGATTTGAGTAACATACATATTCCAATATTTGATTTCTCATTACATTTACATTGTAAATGTTCTTTAATCTCTTTCCTCCTCATATTCCTTTTTCCTGTAGTCTTTCTGTGACCTTACCTGCCAATATATCCTTTCCTCTCCCCACCCACTCCTTCCAACCCCAACCATTACGCAGGAGCCCGGCCCGGCTAAGGTAACAGTGACCAGCAGCAGCAGCAGGGGCAGCATCCCATGCCTGCCCAGCAGTATCGCCAGCGCCGAGCGGGTGCCAATGAGCCGCGCCACTCTGTGGCAGGAAGAGCCCCGCTGGAGCAGGGCCACCATCCCCTGCAGCCGCAGTGCCTCCTGTCTCAGCCAGCTGGGCCACAGTCAGCCAGACTCCAGTATCACTACTCAAGATGGTGAGAACTTTAAAAAAAAAACTATGAAACTCACAGCAACTGTATTTACAAGGATGGAAAAATAATCTAAATTGAATATGACACGATTGAGCATAAAAATTTGTGCTTTTAATAACGTTCTTCAATAAACAAACTGAATTTCATGTGCAGCTGGGGAAAAACCCCCAACTTTCCCAGCAGTAAAATGACAGGAATGCTTTTTTTTGTTTGTTTCATAAAGTCTGCAGTGAGCTGGGCTTTTTTCTCTCCCCCAGATGGTGGCACTGTGAGCAGTGGACGTAAGGTACGAGTTGAGAGTGGGTACTTCTCCCTGGAGAAGACCAAGTCGGAGCCTTCTCCACAGTCTGCACATCATTCACAGCCACCCCAGCATCTGCCCCTCTCCTCTTCAGCATCTTCCTCCTCTATAGGAGCTCCCAGTTCCAGGTACAACTCTGAATCAGAACCCCAGACTTCCCCTCATCAACCCTCCCAAGACCCTCTCCCCTCTCCAGGTTCACTTGTCTCCCCAAGCTACTCCACCATCAGCTCTTCTCAGAGCTCTCTGGACTCTGATCCCAGTGGAGCTACATCCACTTGGGAGGGGCACAATGGTGGCGGGGGCGGCCGAGTTGGCCGTTCCGGCAGGGAGTACGCTGCACTGGCAGATGTGCCCCGGGCCCGCAGACTGAGCTACCGAGAAGCTTTCCGCTCAGAGAAGAAGCGCCAAGACCTGAGGGCGCGGACACGGAGCCCTGGGAGAGAGGAGGTGGCTCGGCTGTTTGGGGAGGAGCGCAGGTGAGGATGACAGTTCAGAGCCGTTTTAAGTTTCCCGCTCTTCCTCGTGATAGACCCAATCAGTGCTGAACAAACACCATAACAAATAAGGCAGATGAACTTGTAATAATGATGGCAACATGATTAATAGTCATTAATGAGCCACTGATTGATAGCTAGAATAGAGCATGCTCAGCGTTTATGTGAAGTTTATCCATTGCTGAGGATACCCCACACAGTATTATAGCACCACCCTGTGGCTGCTCTCTCCAAGCTTCTGTTGCTGTTGCTGCCTACCCTAGCTTATCAGTGGTTTGCCATTAATGATTAGAGGGATTTAAATGCATGTGATGTTTTGGTTTTGTACTGCTCTCTACCTTTTTTGCTCTCGGCTACCTTGCTAGTTTTTGTTGTTTCAATCTTTTCCAGGGGCTTCTGAACAGAGCTTCTCAGAGCTAATGCTCAACCAACCCTTCCACCCTGCCCCAATGCTGTTCCCTGCTGGTCACCGCTGACTCCTGCTTTCTATCATTTCATCCCTGCACTGCCTCGGAGCACACACATGCATAATAAATACTTAATCTCCTGTACATACCATGCATACAACATACTGACAGGTTGGGTTATAGATACGGTTTTGTTTTCTCCAACTTCAATCACTACTTATTTTTCAAATACATTAACAAGTGCAGTGCCTTAAGGTAATGCTGACTGTTGCTGCTTCTCTTTGCAATTTGTTTAATCCTCCATTCCATTCATTTTCCATCTCTCCTAAATTTGATCTAATTATATAACACCATTTTTTTTTCCTAGAAATGTCTCTGGGTGGTTCTCTTTGGTAGTATTTGTTATTTTGCATATATTTATGTTGTATTTTCTGTGGAGAAGACTTTGTGTGTTTCTAAAATGATGTTTTATTTGTGCTTACTGTAAATCAAAGCCTCTTCTTTCCTTTAAATCATGGATTTTGACTTTGATTTGCTCATGTTTGGTGTCTTTTTTATGCTCTCTGTGACCATTTAATGACACGACCATGATGTGCCATATTGTTGTTTTTTTTTCTGTATGGTTAAAAAAAACAAAAAATTGTTTTTGTTGTTTTTTTCTTTTTTTCAAACTTGAATTTTTGAATGTGATTTTTCTGTCTCCTAGGCGATCTCAAATCATTGAGCGGTTCGAGGATGGTCAGCATGTTGAGCGCATGGAGACAAACGGCTCTGATCCTTCTGCTAACTCCGTGCTGATCCAGAGACAGGGACGCAGCGAGAGACGTTATTTGGCTAATAAACATGTACGCTCTCCTCTGATTAATCCTGAGTAAATCAAACCAGAAAGGTCATACAATACTTACGGTGGCCCTGAGAGGTCAAACACACTCCAGCTTTAGAAAACACAAGTAGAAAAACACTGGAAAAGCCTCCCAAAAACCCAAAACAAAAGAAATGATAAAAAAGACCACAAAAGCTCTCTCACACACACACACACACACACACACAAAACCTAAAAAAAAACATAAAAGTGTTTTGGGAGACAATAGCGTGACAGAATAGCTGCGGAAGTGACAAGCTAACCTTCCAGCCGACCCAATCCTTAATCTTGAGAAAAAGTGATGCATTTCATCAAAACTCTTATTAAAAAAAAAAAAAAAAACAGAACCCAAATTGCTAATGTTACTCAGTCATATGCAAAGGCTAATGTATGACCCACCTGGCACTGGGACACAAACCACAGTAAGAGCAGTAAATTTAGGTCTGAGTAATATCACAAACTAACCACCTCCTATTACCAGCTTTGTCACTTGTGCATATAACTAAATAAATATGTAACTATACATATTTGTTATAATTTTAAACTGTGAGTAATTTCAAACTGAATTTCTGTAATTACAGCAGCTCATCTGCAGTATCGTCATGGCTCATCTGGAGCCCCAGCCCACACTTTGGGAGTCACGGATTGATTTGTGTGCTTTTGCTGTGTTTTTTCTGTTTGTTGGTGTTTTCTTAACTTGCAATTCATTTATTCTCTCAGGGCAACTGTACATACTCTAGAATTAAAATGAACTTCTTGTAATTTTTTATACATTTTGTATTTGTAGGAGATGTCACTAGATTCAGCAAAGGACCGTTCAGTTCCTGATGTATCCAGCTCCACTTTGGCCAACTTAAGAAGGGCCAAATCATTGGACCGCAGAGTAACTGAGTCCTCGATGACTGTGAGTGTTGAGAGTACTGCCAAACTGTAAAGCACGATATGTGGAAAAAAAAAAATAGAAATGTATATTTTTAGGAGATTTGTCAGAGAAAATATTTTCCCACTCTTAAAGGTGTCTCTGTTCAGCAGAGCATCAAGCTTGACTTTTTTTGTTTTCTTTCTATTTTTGCACACAAGTTGCACAAATTGCCACACGTGCAGTTGTTAGACTTGATCTCTTCAGTTTTCAGCTAAATTAAAGCGTTCAAGTTACTTAAAGTTGCAGTGGTATCATCTTGAGCTCTGACTCCTACCAGTCTGATCTGCGGTCACTTCAGGGAGGGTAGCAGGGGTGATCCACTCAGTGTGACTTGTCTTTCTAGCCAAGCTGCAGCTGCCCAAACCCACCCCCCTCCACTCACTCAAACACACACTCACGTACACAGCACTGCCGCCACTGCTACTGGCGATTATAAATAGCCTCCACAGAAGCAGCCGCAGTTGCGTGTGTGTCCCTGAGACAGAGGGAAAGAAGGAGATTGTCAACATATGAACTGAAGGCAGTTAGCCATCATAATGACTCTGTGCCAGACTGTGACACCACACCTGATGAAGCTCAACAAAAACAAGGTATTGTTGAGTTAGCGGTGGCCAGGTTTTGGAGGAACGACTTACTTTAGGGTCTATAAACAGCCTTGAGTTTGTGTTTCACGGGAAAGTCTTGCTCCCGCCAGTCAGTCTCTGTAGCTGGAGCCACTTATTCTTTTTTGAGCTGAGGTGTGGATATGAATGTAAATAAACATAATTATATTGTAATTGCCATGTGATATCAAGTTAAAGGTGTCGTCATGTTTATTCATTTTTAATTTCTTTTCAATGATTAAATGATATTCATTACTTAATGATCCATTTCTATGATCTGTCTTAATTGCAGCCCGATCTGCTGAACTTTAAAAAAGGATGGATGACAAAGCTATATGAAGATGGAGTGGTAATTTGCTTTCAGTATTATCTACTTCTCTGCAATACTGAATAAATAACTTGTACATAAGACTGGTGAATATCCAGTTAATGGGCTTTTTTTTTTTTTTTTTGCATTTCAGTGGAAGAAGCACTGGTTTGTCCTGACAGATCAGATTTTGAGGTACTATAAGGATTCAATAGCTGAGGAGGTAAGGCTTGTTATTCATTTAATTAAAAAAATAGTTTTAAACTTGATGAAAAATTACACATTTGTACTTATCGTTGGGTTTTTGTTTTTGTTTTCTTCCCCCTCTCAGGCTTCAGAAATGGACGGCGAGATTGACCTTTCTACGTGCTACGATGTCAAAGAGTTTCCCGTTCAAAGGAATTACGGTTTCCAAATCCTGGTGAGTGTCGAATCTTCGTGTCAGTGTTTATCCCACGTCATTAATCATCAGTAAAGAAGAAGCTTATTGTCCACACGGTTTAGATCCGGTGTCTCCTGCCAGTCTATAAACAGCTGTAGACACCATGTGGTGCAACTTTTGAGTATCAGGTTTTGTCATTTCTCTTCCTGAAACAATTCTTTGTTTGTCATGAAGGATGTCACTTGACTTGTCATCTCTCTGTGAAAGGCTGACATCATAGAGGTCTAAATCTGCCACAGGCGTTGCCAGCCCTGCTGGTGCTCCTGAACCAATGTGGCTTTCATCTGCACAATTAAAAGCTCCGTCCTTGTGAATAATGTCTCATTAGCACTGACGGAGGAAAACTACACAAATACGAGTCTGTGTGCAGTAGCGTGGACCCTCCTTTAAATGGCGCAGTGCTTTATTCATATAATCTTTTGGGCGTTAAACATTTGTAGCGCTTGTTGTTGTTGGCGAAATGCTTAGTGGCAGTGTATAGTTGCTTGGGGTAGAGTGGTGCCAGTGGGGCTTTTGTTCCTGCTACATGATTTAAGCTCGCCGCTCTAAAGCTGTATCTGAACAGCAGCTACAAGGTCATTTCTTTTGTTTGCATTTGCTTGAAGTAGCTTCCACAGTAATTTTCTGGAGGAAGTCGGAAATGGATTGCTCAAGAGGATTGTGCATTCTTTGGCTGAAAACATCATTGATCTGGTGTTGTGTGCACCACAGGTTAAGGTAGATGGAGCTATTGTCAGTAGTGTTTTTGATTTCAAATCTCACTACTTCACATCATCAGGAGTTTTATTCATAATGTTTTGTAGAAGTTTCTTAGCTTCCACTAGAGGTCTCTGTAAATGGGGTTAGTGCTTATAGAGTGCTGCTGTTTCTGTTGTTAGGTGAAGGAGGCAAGTCTCATCACAGTGTGTAATTATAGAGGTTTAGATCTAGGTAGCACCTAGATTGATGTCTTGTTTGGTATAAGATTTAATATAATGAGTAATTAGTTAAATTTTTATGATCAATCATAATTTCTTTATGTGGATTGTATGTCCTATGTGTATCCTACCTTCAGTTCATCTGCAGTTTTGTCTTTGTTACTTCAGAAAAAATGCGCAACATCCCCAGCCACCAGTTTCCATAGTTCATAAAAGTAACTCACAATGAACTCACATTTATTACAAAACAACAGCCAGAGAACAGCTTTTGCATTTGTGGCAAAAAGGGGCAGCTGTCATTACTGTAGAGTTCTAACTATACGTTAAGTCGAATGTTTTGCACATTCAGCACAAAGCACCTCTGTTACTTGTTTTATCATTGCAGATGGTGTTAAAAACTATGGCTAAATGACTAAAGCCAGGACAATGTCGTAGTTTGACAGCATGAGGTGTTAGTTTTGTTTTAAGTAACTTTCCTGTCAAGAAAAACAGAAGTGAGGCTGAGAATCTACTCCTGTCAAAAGCGTTTCTCTGACACTTTTGAAGTGGACATAAGCATCTGTTAAATTGAAAAAATGAGTAATGAAATAAAAAGTGGTTAACAGCAGTTAACTTTTATTAAAAGTACTTTTACAGCATAATTCTTTGAAATGTGTGGCTTCTGAGTGAGTCAGTTAAAGGCTCTGCCTCTGTTTTCAGTGTAAAGAAGGAGCGTGCACCCTGTCAGCGATGACCTCTGGAATCCGTCGTAACTGGATTCAGGCGATCATGAAGAACGTGCGACCCACTATCGCCCCCGATGTCACCCGGTAATACCCACTGAGGATTAACCCTCACCACTGGCAGATATAACAGCTGCTTTTTTTGTTTTATTTATCTGAATTCCTATTTCCTCCTCACCTTTGGTTTCCTTCTTTTTCTTCCTCTTCAACCTGTATTTTCAACCTGCTTTCCAGGAAAAACATCCCTCTGAAACTATCGGTTCTGAAGCCCAGGTTGGAGTGCTTGTGTGTAAAATATCTCCCCCACCCCCCCAATGTTGATGTTCTTGCTCAGCAATGTCAGCCCCACCGTTTTTGTCATCCAACCATGTGTCATGTGATTATTGAGTAATGTCTCCCAGTTAGTTGTGCCACTGTAGAGACCCACACTGCAATCACATCTACATATTTGAATAATCTGCCCAACACCACAGGCCAGTGTCAGTCATGCCTGTAATGTGACGGTCCACTAACTGTTGGAAATGGTGCCACAACAACACCAAAAGCTCAAAATAACTAAGCTTTGGGCTGAGTATAAATGTCCACCTCAAAATGAGCTCAGTAACAACATAAGCATTTATTTTTGTACTTTTCATAGCAAAGCTGGATATTATCTTTCACATATCAAATGCTGAAGTTGCACATATGACATGTTATATGTTCTTGAGCTCTTTCCCTCCTTGAGAATGCCACACAACACGGTTAAAAAGGATTGTTCCATCAGGTCACCCTGCCCTTTAAAGCAGTGCACATTAGTGAGCAGTTTACTGCACATATTCACATTAAGTCACTGTTAAACAGCAGTTAAAGGCAGGAACCCGTCATCAGGCTTACATCAGATCAGGTTGCTTTTAGCCCCACTGTGTGTCTTTATAAATGTTTTTGGTGTTTAATGCTTTGACATGCATTTTATTGTTTAAAATGGGGTATCTGCTGGTCTTTAAAGTTAAAGCAACTTCCTCTTTGTCACTAACAAGACCTAATAATTTTTCACAAAGAAAACCAGACTATTGTTAGTTGGCATTTCTGCTTTCATTTTTGCTAATGGGATGTCAGTAAATGTTGCAAACCAACAGACTCAGTATTTACTGCGTTCCCTCTTCTGTTACTCTTTATTTTATTCACTTATCTAGCCGATGGACTGATTGGCTTATGCCATGACAAGGTGTCAGTTATCCTTCTATCCAGAATTCACAAGAATAGCTGCTACTTTTAAACTACTTTTGGTCAGATTTTAGTCTAAATCACGCACATGATCTCCTGCTGAGATTTACCCAAACTTTGCTCGAAGTCAGGATTATATTTGTCATTTTACAAACTGTAGTCAATAAACTTTGGTGCTACTACATCGCTGACTTTCTGGTTTAGTTTTTTTCCTGTTAAAATTATTTATGACACAATGAATTTACAATTGAGGTTAGTTTAACAGAAACTGGATTGTTGTGGCTTTTAGTCCACAACTCATTTCAGTTGTGGTTATATAGCACCAAAACACAACAGTTGCCTCAAGGTGCTTTATATTTTAGGGTAAAGACACTACAATAATACAGAGAAAGCCCCACAACTAGACAAACCCCTATGAGCAAGCACTTGGCAACAGCAGGAAGGAAAAACTCACTTTTAACAGGAAGAAACCTACAGCAGAAATGTGGTCAGGGGCAGTAACTAAAGAGCTCAATCTAAAAATGTAATTGGGTTTAGGGTGTTTTAACACCTGCTGCGTCCATTTAAATTGAACTCTTGAGCGTTGAGGGTTGAATACAGTAGTCTCAGGTGCGGACAAAAACAACTACAAAAAGACCCAGTTGGAGGAGGTGGCCTTGGTACAGTTCCAAACGACCGCCAGATCAGTTCATTTATGGTGTGAACATGTTCCCACCCCGATCCGAGCCAACTACAAGGTGTACGTTACAAGTTTGAGCTAACAAAACAACGTCCCGTACCAACATATGCTAATGCAGGAAGGTACTGTAGATGTGCAAAGGTCTGTACGGGCTAACGTAAATTCTCAGTTTTCTGACACAGGACCTCCTTTGTGTATTTAGTTTTGTTGTTCCTGCCCCAGATACATTTGGCCAGTGAGCAGACTGAACATTCTCACGACGTTTGTAGTGACACATTTTGGTTTGCTTAGAGTTCACTAAGATTTTTTTTCTGCGTGAAAACAAACACAGTGTTTCATGTGGAAAAGCTACACGTTTACAAATTCAGATCACAGTAAAAGAACCATAGGTGGGAAAACGCCGTCAGACTTGGATTTAGATCAAATTTTTAAACATGTTTTTATATTTTTGGTGGTTTGTTTGTGAATCGGGTAGTTAAATGTCACTGTTTACCTCATTGGGCCCTGCAGAAACCCTGGAATGCACAGTTAATCGAAGCTAGAAAACCTGAAATCTTATGTTGTCGTTTCGTCCAGCAAAGCTTTATGTAACAGCAGCTTGAGCAAATTTGAATGCAGAAGTTCATCCAGTTATCTTTGAATTGACTTATATATGTTTTGTTTTTTTGTGCTTTGGTTTGTTCAGATCACTCCCTGATGAGAAGATAAAATCTCAGGTGATGTTGGACCCATGCCTACAGGTCACCCCTGATCCAAGCCATAGTCCAGAAATCCCCAAGTCTGATGGGCAGAGGCAGCCACTTGGTAACAATGCCTCTGCCCCTGCCTCCGAGCCACGCAAAAGCAGAGTTCGTGAGCGCAGACGAGAGGGCCGCTCAAAAACCTTCGACTGGACTGAGTTCAAAATGGAACAGAAGGAAAAGCCCGTAAAAGAACGAGCAGACACAGTTGACCTCAGCTCATCGTTCTCCACAACCTCCTCCTACTGTTCTGCCTCCTCTTCTCCCTCCTCCTTGGCGTCATCTCCGGTCTCTTCTTCCTCCCTCCAAACCTCATCTGCATCAGCTGCTCACCCACCTTCAATTACAGAAGAAGCAGAAAAGGAGAACGTTAATGGGGGAACTAGCAGTACAGCTCGCACACCAAATACTGTTACTGTAACTGTGATTTCAACGCTAAATGCTACATCACCAGTACAGCAACCAACACCTGGAATCCAAGAGCAAGGAAAGATGGAAGTGGATCACCCTGCTGCCATTAGTCCAGCCAGTGAAGACAAAGACAGCAGAAGCTCAGATGTTCAGGATGAGATTGAGCAGCGATGGCATCAAGTGGAGACAACACCATTAAGGGAAGAGAAGCAAGTACCGATCACCACTGCCTTAGGAAACTCTGAGAGACTGCCAGCGCATGAGCTTGCTGCTCTGCTAGACAAAGAGGTGAGCGTAACCAGCGTGGGTTATATCATTAAGATTTCTCCTCACCCTGAACCTGTTTTTTCCTTCACGCTGTCGACTGGTGCTTGCTCATGTCGGGGTTGTCTCATTGTTGGGGTTTTCTCTGTATTATTGCAGGGTCAATTTAAAGTGCCTCAAGGTGACAGTTGTGATTTGATGCCATATAAATAAAATTAAATAGTTTATTTTTGGACAATTAGACATGTCTAGTTCTTGAGATTTTTTTCATTTTCAGATTCAATAGGAAGTTTCATACTGGACACAACATTAAAGTCTCAGCTTTAATTTGACATCAGTACTATGTAGTACTATCTTACCCTACACTTGAAATGTATCCACAGTTTTAGAAGACTTCAGAAATGACATTTTTAATATTTTTCTATCTTTTTTGAGATCACTCGTAGACCATCAAAGAGGATCGATCAGGAAATAATATTTAAATATTTGGCTACTTGCCTGTTTGTTCATGGGGTAGGAATTACTTTTTAGGAGTGGATTTGATTATTTGCTGAGTCTCTGCATGTTTTAACTTGGTAGTATCATTTCATGTCTTGAAATGGATCATGCTGCAGTTGCTGTTGTGCAACATTTTATGGTTTGCTGTCACAGAAAACCCCAAATGGCTCAATTATGAGCAGCTACATCAAAACAAGAAGTTTTTTCCTGCCTCCATCCATTTGTTAAGGTGTTCCTACTGTGTGTGTTTTTTATCATAAGCAAATTTGTTTGGTGTGATCAGGCTAATTGAAGGAACAAGCCTTGCATGTTGTTTTACGTGTTGCACTTGGTAAGCCACCTGGTGATGAGAAGTGCTATACTGTATATGATCTCCTTTATTCAATTAAAAAAGTAATATAATACTTTTTTTTTTTTTTATTTTAAATTGTCAACCTAAAAAGGTAAAAAATGCTGAACTGTCCAAATGTTTTCAGTTATATATATTTTTTGGTTATATTTATTTTATAACAACACCCTGTGCTATTTGTTCATTACCTCTTTGCCTCTCTTGACAGTTGGGACAGAAGCAGAAGGAGCTGGACCAACTGCAGAAGCAGAACAACCTCTTAAAGGAGCAACTGGAAAATGCGCTAGTGAGAGAGCAAAGTGCCAGGGAGGGCTATGTACTGCAGGTAACTGCACTCTTTACATATCCCGCAACCTTTTCTTTTAAATTGATGCCACAACATGAATTAACTTAAAGAAATGTTGTGGTAGAGCAGTGTTAAGAATTGCAAAGTAAAAGTATGTACTGTACTAACAGGTGTGTGGGTGCTTATTTTCTGATATTGCTATGCGTGGTTGTGGTTTTCTTAGCATGAGATTTTCACTAACTGTTTTTTGATGGAGTTTCACATCTCATGGGAAAGTAACTGATTTAATCTGATGTGCTTAAGGTAAGAAAGAGGATCAATAAGCCTCACGCTGTGCTTTTTCTCTCTGCATGTGTCCTTTCGCAGCTTGATTTCTGCATGCTTTGTGTTTCTGAATAAGTGTGTGATTAATGCCTTTCTTTTTTCTTTTTTTTACATTAAACACTTTTAGGTCATACCATGAAATCACATTATGTTTGGTCATGTTATATTCTTTTAAATCAACATATTGATCACCCATTTAAGTTTTTGGTTAATTGTTTTTTTTGGGGGGGGGGGAGGTGTTTGAAGGTGACTTCATCTAAACCTTTCTGTTTTCAAGTGACCTCTGAAAAAGCACAGTAGAAGCTTGAGGAAAAATTTGCTTTCCTAAAAAAATAAGAGAAGTTATTTTCTTCCTGGTTATCCCCGAGATGTGGCTCTCTGTATTTAGTAGAGGGGAAAGTAACGTGATGATATTAATGAAACTATCTCATCAATCTTTTAAAGAGCGCAACACCTCCTACGTCTTCACCGCACAGAGTGCCATGGCAACACTTGCACAGGCTTAATCAAGATTTACAGGGTGAACTGGAGTCCCAGAAGCGCAAGCAGGACCTTGCACAGCAACAGATCCGGACATTGAAGAGAAGCTACACCGAAACCCAGGATGCCGTAGAGCGCCACGAGTCTGATATTCAGGCTTTGCAGTCTAAACTTGCATCTGCAATGGCGGAAATTTTAGCAAGTGAACAGGCTGTGGCCCGGATGCGGAATGAGCTCAGGCTAGAGCAGGAGCGCTCAAAAGAACACGAAGAAGAATACAGTCATAGTGAGGCTACCCTACGAGCCCAGCTGAAGGACAGTGAAGACAGACTCCGTGAAGTAGAAGCTAACCTCCTGGAGAGAAACCAGGCCCTCAGGCAGCTGGAGCGCCAGCAGGCACTGCAGCGAGACCACGTGAGGGAGATACAGAGGTTGCAGGAGAAGCTGCAAGAAGTGACTGCTCGACTAACTGCTACAGAAGAGGGTCAGGCGCTGAAAGAAGAGCGCCTTAAGCAGGAACAGCATAGCATGCAAGAGAGTCATGAAAGAGAGAGACAGAATCTGTGCAAAAGATTAGCTGAAGCTGAAACTGCACACAAGGAAGTAGAGGGCAGGCTGTTCGAGGCTGAGCAGCAGGTAGAGGCCTTGTTAAGGGGTAGGCGGGCCTCAGGAGGTACAGAATGCAAGCAGGAAATGCTGAAGTTGCAAGAAGAGCTGGCTCAAAAGGCTGACATGGTTGAGTCACTGAAGGAAAGTGTCCGTAGACTAGAAGAAGAAAAAGGACATCTTACGTGTCGTTGTCAGGAACTCATCAACCAGATTGCTGAAGCAGACCGTGAAGTGAACAAGCTTCACACTCGACTGGAAACAGAAGAAGCAGATTACTACACCTTGGAGCATTCATATAAGAGGGCTACCCAAGAGTTTCAGAAAATGAGCCAGTTCCTTCGAGAAAAAGAGGAGGAGATCCGGCAGACTAAGGAGATGTACGAGAGACTGATGGAACGCAAGGAGGAGGACCTAAAAGAAGCACTTATTAAAATGACTGCACTTGGCAACAGCTTAGAGGAAACTGAGCTGAAGCTGCAAGCCAAGGAGGAGCTTCTCTGTCAAATGACTCAAAGCCTCTTGGACAAAGTTGAGCCTTGTAATGCTGAGAAGGATCTGCAAGCCAAGCTTGTGGTTGCAGAGGACCGCATTGCAGAGCTGGAGCAGCACCTCAATGCCCTACAGCTGGGGTATGCTAATCTACACATGGAAAGGCAGCAAATCCCAGAACAGAGTGAGGAGGAAAGAACATCACCCTCCTTGTTATCAAACGCAGAGCTTTCTTTAGACAATACATGCACAACGGAGAGCTCCCCAGACGATAAGGAGTCTCAAGCTAAGAGACCAAGGATACGTTTTTCTAGTATTCAGTGTCAAAAATATGTCAATTTCGAGGTCCTGGACACTAGTCAAAAAATGAATCAGGATGTAGCTGAAGACATTGAGTTAACTGAAGGAACAGCTACTCCTGACTTCACAGCCCCACATGCTAATGACCCAGAGAAGTTTATCTCTATCATACATGCTCTTGAAACGAAACTGCTCGCCACAGAAGATAAGCTAAGAAACCTTACACAAAATCTGGATAGGCAACGATCCACCCAAGCAGAGGACTTGTCCGATATAGATTTAAAGATCAGCGGAAAGGATTCTTGCCCAGAGAAAGAGACTAGTGATGCAAGTGGTATACAGAGTAGTGCTGGCATTAAGCATTGTACCAATGCCCTTGTATGTCTGGAAAATGGTCGAGAGAAAGTTAGGGCTATTCTCAGTGGCTCACATGAAACCGATACACAGCTGCACTCATTGTGTGAGATAGAGAAGGATTTGTTCAATGCATCGCTGTACCTTCAACGGGGACAAAAGATGTTGGAAGAGCAATCACCAGCTTTCGATCCAAATCAAACCCCAGAGACTGTAGATAAAGAGGCAATGCACCTTTTTGCCAAAACGTTGTCCTTTGAGGCGATGGTTTTGAACAAGATGGCTTTGTTAATACAAACGTCAAAGTCTGACCTCCTGCAGGCTCTTACTGAGATCTGGGAGGACATTGAGCACATTAAAAGGAGTGACAAAGACTGCTTGGCTGTAGTTTATGCCGATGTCTTGACCAGGAAGCTGATTTTAGAAAGTGGGTTCTGGAAAGAACTTGAGAAAGCAGAGACGGATGTTGCTAAATCCAAAGAGGGTGGTGTATTAGATGATGTAGATGTTGATGCCAAAGTTGCCTTCAACAACTTCATTAAAGCAGAATTAGCCTACTCAATTCAAAATCTTAAGCTTTGCTATGAGGAGAAATTCAAAATACTTAAAAGGGAGCTAGCTGTAGCTCATAAAAACCTCTATGAAAGGGAAATGGCTTTGAAAGCAATTATTGAAGCCTCTAAAAGGCCTGATTTGAAAACTGTCATAAAAGAAGTCAAAAACAACTTTGGATTCAACAAACAAAAGCTGGCGGACATTCACCCTCCCGAGCTTGCTCCGTACATGGAGCAGATCGAAATAGAAGAAGCTAGAGACTTGGCTGAGGAAATCGTAGACAGACACTTGGCTGGTGAAATGCCCTCTTGTGGCATTGACTCTGTTGAATCACTGCAAAATGCTCATGAAAGCCTGGCTAATGAACTTCAAAGACAAGCAGCGATCCTCCACAAGTATGCCCAAGAACTAGAAAGTGGCGAAAGCAATCCCGGACTGTCTAAAATGATCCGACCTCTTCTAGGACACCAAACCTCACATATTTTCACAAGTACCTCTCTTTGTATGCGTGAAGCCCTCACCCAGGCTCAAGTGGCATATGTGGCATGTAGGTTACGGGCCATGCATGAACAAGATTTGGGCTATTGTAAACAGACCAGTCAAACTATGGATGATCTCGTGCAGCAGCATGCACGCAGTGTCACAGCAATCCAAGAAAAATATGAAGAGTCTTTACAAGAGGAGCGCCGGAACTTCAAGCAAATGGTGGAATCTCTCCAGAAGGAAAATCAGACTCTTAAGAGTGAGATTAGCAAACGTGTGAATCAGCTCTCACAGCAGCAGCAGCAAGTGGTCTTCTTAGAGAAAGAGTTTCAGAAAGAGACGGAAGACCTGAAGCAGAAGCATCAAAGGGAGCTGAGCCGAGCAGAACAAGGCTGTGCCTCAACAGAGCTGGCCCTCATGGAAGCAGCAGCTGACAGTCAACAAAAGTTAGAGGTTCTGCTAGCAGACATGGACACAATGGAGGAGAGGCACGAGAGTCATTTGAGGAAGCTCGAGGAGCAGTTTGAAATGAGGGTTTGCGAGCTCCAGCATATCCACAAGGACAACATCGAAAAGTTACGTTCAGAGTATGTGGAGAACATTCAGAGTCTCAAAGATCACCGACCTTACGATCAAAACCCTGAGGTCTCACAGCCACCCGAGGAGGCCGCTACGCCAATGGAAGAGGAAGAGCAGGGAAAAGGGGATGATGTACAGCACATATCAGAGGTCGACTCCATGGTGGTTCTGAAAGACCGCATTCAAGAACTGGAGACTCAGATGAATAATATGAGGGACGAACTGGAGAACAAACACCTTGAAGGAGATGTGGCCAGCCTGAGAGAGAAATACCAGAGAGACTTTGAAAGCCTCAAGGTTTTTGCTCTTTCATTTTACCATTTTAGTGAATAAACTCTTTTTAAGGGAGAGAGATCAGTAGTTATTATAGCCAAAGAAAAAAGTTAACTTTGATTCTTTGATTTCTAATCCTCAGTAACTGGTGATTCGAGTAACTGAGGATTAGGAATTGGGAAATGGTGTGATTTGAGATGAGTGAAACATGTTTAAATTGAACAGTTACATCATCTGTGGGCTGTAGCATGATTGTAACTGGAGCTTTAAAGGATGTCCTGAACTCCTAGGTGATAAATCATAACCACCGTGGTAACTGTAGACTGTATATAAAGTATGGAAATAGGCTCTAGGGCAAACCCCTTAGATCCCTAACGAACTGGACCAATGAAACTTCCCTTTTATGTCAGTGTAAAGAAGTTTAACTACACATTTAATATCCCTGAGATATCTTTATATAAGTAAAATAAGCATATTTTCCACAATATGTCTGTTCTTTTACATCATATAGAAAAGCTGCTGTGTTAAAAGAAAAATCTTTCAGCACAACTCTTTGGGCTGAAGTTGTAAGAAATAAATGTGTAAAATGACACAAAGTTCTGGTAGCTCATTGCCCAGACTCCCCTGTAATTGTAAAGCAGAAAGTTTTTAATGGTACGGAAAATTGCGTCTTTATAAAATAGTTGCTTCAGTGTAAAAAAAAAAAAAAAAAAAAATACAACAAACAAAACAAAAAACAAACATAAATGTCTATAGTAGATGGAGGAGGGAGGATTTTTTCTGTCATTTAATTCTTTGGCTATTACTTAATTACTTTGGTATGGTATGAATGGCCAAAGGCAGGCTTTTATCACTGATGAGCTGTGACACTTATGGATATGCAGCTAAAAGTCCAAAATGTATGTACTCTTTCATATTTTCCAAAGCCATCCAGTGAGGGAGATTGCTGGGCCAATTCTGGCCTTATGTTTGACGCTGTTGCTTTAGGTTTTTAAAACTGATGAAGTGTCTTAAATGTGCAATATTTCCAATGAACAGCAGGAGGCGACAACTTTGGTTTACATATAGAAGTCAGGAAACACGTTCATAATGAGTTAATGGCCTCAGCATATTGAATACAACAGGACCTTATTGTATTTTTTATGTAAGTTAAAAATCTTGGCCATCGGAGCTTCAAAAGCTTGCTCGATAAACGACATCAGTAGGTCGTCCATCTTTTATATACAGTCTCTGCTAATGAAAGTGATGCTAATTAATAGACTAGTCTATTAATTAGACTAGTAGCCTATACAAGACTATTAAATTGATAAAAGTTTTAGAATTATGTTTCTAAAATGTTTTTATATCTATATCAATCTATACAGACATATAGATATAAACTATGGGTTTGGTGTCTCAGGAAGTTTCTGATCTTTCAGTGAGTGGGTATTCTTCAAATCCTGCTGATCAGCTGGGGACATCCTTTTTTTGTTTCAAACAAAGAAGCAAAGCAACCAATAGCAGGTTGTCTTGAGTCCTTTCTGACACAAATTGTATTTCAGTTTACCTTAAATACTCATTTGGGCATCAGTAATCATACCATTTCCCACTTTCAGAATAAAGTAGCCTATCAGAGTAAGAGTCTATCAGTATAAACTGCAGCTTGGCTGGCCTAGAATCTCTATGCTTTACTCGCTCTGTTACTAATATAGACAATTTCTACTTCTAAAAGTCTTGCATGGCCTCTATCACGGATTTTTGCATGTAGTTGAGTGAGTTATAGATAATTTACTAAATCTGTAGTCAAAAATAAAAATGTAGCTGCAGTGAATGCATAATTCTTTTCGCAACAAGAGATTGTTGACTTTTTCTTCCACTAGGCCACATGTGAGCGTGGCTTTGCTGCAATGGAGGAGACACACCAGAAGGTGATCGAAGACCTCCAGAGGCAGCATCAGAGGGAGATTTCCAAGCTCATGGAAGAGCGAGAGAGGCTATTGGCTGAGGAGACGGCTGCCACGATTGCTGGTAAAGAAAGGGTCTCATCGCTCGTAGCTGCTGTGCTTTGATGACTGTCATACAGTGACTTGATATATGTGCTCTGTTTTTTAATGTAGCTATTGAAGCTATGAAGAATGCGCACAAGGAGGAACTGGAAAAAACCCAGCGCTCCCAAATAAGCGGACTGAACTCTGACATTGATGAACTACGCTTACAATACGAGTATGTTTTACAAGGGGAAACCTAAACTTTGCATCCAGTGTATTTACTGTATCAGTTGGGTGTCAGCATTTAATCTTGACTGGGGCCTAAAAACTGTACTGATGCCTTGCAGTTGCTTTTGGGGGAAAAAACAGTTTTATTATATGATGAAAGAAGTTCTGCGCTGTGAAAAACACAAATGCATGTTGACACTGATTATCTGACTGTGTAGGGAGGAGCTGCAGTCCATCCAGAGAGAACTGGAGGTGCTGTCAGAGCAGTACTCTCAAAAATGTCTAGAGAACGCTCACCTGGCTCAGGCGCTGGAGGCCGAGAGGCAGGCCCTCAGGCAGTGTCAGAGAGAGAACCAGGAGCTAAATGCACACAACCAGGTCAGACTCCGCAATCCTGCACACGTACTGTGAATACAAACCTGTTTTTGTCCACAGGTTTGAATACGTCTCCATTTTTCTAACAGGAATTAAATAACCGGCTGACTGTAGAGATCACTCGGATGCGCTCCTGTTTTAGTGGGGAAACTGCTCACTCATCACTTTCCCAGGGCAAAGATGTGTATGAACTGGAGGTATGTTTAAATGAGCACACACACACACACAGACGCTCAACTTATGTTGCTCTACACCCTAAGTGCCTCTCCCTGTCTTGTAGGTATTGTTACGAATAAAGGAGTCAGAGATCCAGTATCTCAAACAAGAAATCCACTCTCTGAAAGACGAGCTACAGTCTGCTTTAAGGGTAAGCACATCTCCCTGAGAGTGATTTAAAAATCTGAGGCCGTATATTCATTCCCGATCATTTTACCAGGACAAGAAATATGCCACAGACAAATATAAGGACATCTACACAGAACTCAGCATTGTAAAAGCAAAAGCAGACTGCGACATCAGCAAACTGAAGGAGAAGTTGCTCATTGCCACAGAAGCTTTAGGTGAGAGGACTGTCGATGGAACAGTTACATCTGGATATGGTGAGTAGAAAATGCTCAATTTGACTTTAATCTTTGTTCTTTTTAGTTCCCATTTATATCCAGATATCCGTGAAGTCTACTAACATGACAACAACCAAAGGCTGAGCAAAACTGTGTTTATTATAAATATGTTACAACTATCCAACCAACCACCATTAGTGCCGCCCGGGGATTGTCTCTTTTTGGATTGCTGTTGGTTTGAACTGGGAAAAAAAAGCCTTCAATCCTCGAAATGTTTTTAACATTGTGTTGCTATCTTTATCCTTCCTGAGAAAGATGTGTCTTCCTCTTGGTAAAGTTAGGAAAAATTGTTTTAAGATTACCGCTTCACCACCTGAAGGTAATGTTAATAATAGGGTCTTTATTGTGTTTTTAGATATCATGAAGTCCAAAAGTAACCCAGATTTTATGAAAAAAGAACAGTCGGCGAGCTCCAGGCATTCACGAGGTTTAAGGTCAAAGGTGAGTGTTTGCCGTGTCATTTGTTGCTTCTGTGGTAGAAACGTGTTCAGAGTCGGTCAGAGGTCATGTTTTACTGAAAGTGCTTCAAGTGTTTCATCTGTCTGTTTTATCCGTCAGTCTGTCACCGAGCAGGTCTCATGGGATAGCTGACACTCCCATTGTGGGGTGATCCCCTCCCAACCCCTGCCCCAACATATGCTGTAGGTATAATGTGATAGACAAACAGCATGCCCTCCATGCCTACCTCCTATGCATGATTTCATCTCCCCTCTGACCCCAAACTCTTTCTTTTGGCTCCACCGTGAGCAATCGAAATATGATATTTCAGCTGAATATCAGAGGTGTGAGGGTGTTACTCATCAAAAGATCTTTAGTTAGAGTCCTCTCCTCCTGCGACTGCAGAAACGGTTAAAAGATGAAAATAAACTGTAGCGCTTTCACATTAATGAAGTACTGAATTGTGCTAGGTACTCACCGTGAGGACTCCCAACTGTCTTTTGTTTTTGTTCTGTGTCGTTTTTCTTTATTTAAAAATGTTTTTTACATTAACAGTTTTTTTTGTTTGTGGCTGTTTGAATCCTCTGTTTTGGTGTTGTGCATACTCTTACGGTACTGTGCAAAAGTCTTGAGTCTCCTCCTCATTTCTTCATTTTGCTTCCGAGGAGCCAGATGTTCAGTTGTTTAATTATATTGTGGTCTTGACAAATATTTTTTCAGGCTTTCTGGGTCCTTGTCCCCAGTTCCTGACTATTTTCAGATGAGTGTTTTCCTGTTTTTAAGCCACTCAACACTGTCTTGAATCATTAAAGTACAAAAGAAGGCACCTAACTCAAGGATTTAACCAGTTTGGTTTACACATAACTTGAAAAAAAAAATGTGTTTTTGCTATTTCTTTAGTTAAAACCCCAACAAATGCCAAGACAACATAGTTGGACAGGCATAACAAATATTCTTACGTCAATAAGAGAAACTGTCTCAGCTTGGTGTGCAGCGAGTCCTTAAATGTGATTGACATGGATAGAGAACAAAAAACAAAGGACAAAATCCAGCCGAGACCTGACACAGATGAGAGATATATTTGAAGGTTCATAAGAACTTGGCTTTCAGGAAGCCATTGTTAACTGAGAACTTTACCTGAAGACTGCTTAAAGAAAGCAGAGGAAAGCTTGGCTAAAAGATTGAGCTGTGTTGCAGAGTAAAGGCGGTGATATCATTTTTCCAAGCAGAATATAAATAAATAAGGGCTGGCTCAAGGCTTTTTCTCTGTACTGCATTTATGTGGCATGACCATATCCATTTCTATTTTTCCTGTACGTCGTGTGTTTTAACCTTTTAAATTAAAGTGTGTCGAGCAGAACACATCTGGGATTAGAAGCTGTGACTGTTTTGTTGTTTCTGACTTTGTGGGTTTTTTCCTTTGCGTCTGTGTGTGTTTGTGTGTTCGCTCTTTTCTGCCCACATGCGCATTATTGCCTCATAACAGTAAATGACTTTGTTTGTCTTTAACAGAGCCTGAAAGAGGGACTCACCGTGCAGGAGCGCATGAAGCTTTTTGAGGCAAAAGATTCCAGAAAGATTTAACCTGAAAAGTTTTTTGCTTTTTTGTTTTTTTTCTCTTACCTGCCTTCTGTTTTTCTTTGTTTTTTTACGCCTGCCGTGCCATCATGGGCTGAAGATGTTGGGGTGACATCTGAGATCAAGGACTTTAATCTATCTGTTCTAAACCTCTTTCACGTTTTAGCTCGATCTTGTCTCTTGTTTTAATTCTTAAAGTACATACACTTACGATCAGGCCAAGTTGGAGTCGTGTCAAACGCGCTGTGAGAGAGATTCGATTACAGCTTTTCTGTTGATCCTCCAAAATGCCAAAACTGACAGCAATACATGATATGAATAATATATAAATATAAATATATCCCAATATTGAATTAAGTATCTGCTGTATTTTATTATTGTAATAGTGTCTATATCTAATAATTTTTAATGTGCTTAATGTTGCACCAGTTCTCCTGTACATAACTACTGGACACATGTAGACTATGGTTTGCTATTATTGTTGGGGCATCTGCTGTACTATTTGATTGATATTGGAAAACAATGTGATGCTTACCTTGGTATGATGTATGCGTGTTTTATACAACGGTGTGTCTGTGTGTGGAAGTGGGGGGGAGGTGAGATTGCACTTACCTTTTGACTACTTGAGGAGGCTTGTTTTTATTCGTCTCAGAATCGGTGTAGTGACTTCCAGTCGATTTATTGCAGTGCAACCAAACATGCTGACTCGCGTCACATTAGGTGACCAGCCATGATTTGTTAGCGATACTGGAATTTATTTCAAATTTCTTAAATTCCGACTTTGTGTTTGCTTCAGTGTGAGAATTATCATCTCCTTAAACCTGAACCTGTTTTTTGGATTTGCATGATCACGTTGCCTCCTTTTCCTACTCTTTGCTTTAGTGTGGCGCTCGAGACAATTATAAGCTTTGCTTTGCAAGTCCTACTGTTGAGATGCTGAGATTGAGATGTTTTACTGTAAGTGGCAGTCTTGAAGCACTTGGCCCAGTCCCTGACCTCTTACTGAAATCTAGTCGTGCCTCAACTGAGTGAAGAATATAGACATCCATGAAACCTGTGCAGCTATGGATACACACTGTATAGTATTCAAACCACGCCTTGTGTATATAAATATATGCCACACGGAAGACTTCTGTGTTTTGTTTTAAACTTGTACCTTGCTCTCTAGCTCTATAAGAAATATATATGAATATTTTTTATTTTCATTTGAATGTATAACGTCAAATAAATGAAGTGTTTAAAAAATCTGTGGCTTGTATTTTTTTTTTTACAGACTTGTGCACCCATTCCTTACACAATTCTTCATTAATTTATTATTTAGCTGTAAGGTGTGAGTCTGTGGTGGATGAACCTACTCACTGGACACTTGAATAAGTCCACCTTTCCAGTACCAGGTTGGACTCACTGATTGCAGTGAGCTGCCTTTAATTCTTTTGTAGATTCAACAAGGTGCTGGAAATGTTCCTCTGAGATTTTGGTCCATATTAACATGAAGGCTTCACACAGTTTCCATGGTGACATCCCAAAGGTGCTCTATTAGATTGACATCTGCTGACTGGAGGCCTTTTGAGTACAGAACACTTTGAGCTTTTTGCCATAGTGCGTTACTCAGATAGGTACACTGTGGTCATAAAGGGATGGACATGGTCAGTAACAATACTCAGGTAAGGTGTGTTGCTTAAATGATGCTCAGTTGGTTCTAAGGAGTCCCACATTTCCTGAGAAAATATTGCTTTCCAATCTTCAGTATTACCATTCTCTGATATTTGGTATCAAGAAGGTATTTTTACTCAGAGCTCACTGATAGTTTCTTTTTCAGTCTCTGAAGAGATGTTTGTTGGGAACCTCAGCCTGTCTGCCACCAACAGCCATGCCACATTCAGAGTCACTTAAATCACTTCTTTTTCCCACTCTGATGCTCACAAGGTTTTCTCGACCATGTCCACGTGCCTAAATGCACAGTCAGTATCACAACAGTCAGGATGTTCGGTGCTACCAGTACCTTGAACTCCAGAATCCATTGCTGGATATTATAATGGTTATAATTGAAAAAACAGAGAAATGTAAAAGATTAACTGTCTCTGAGAAATCTGAAGAAACAAAGAACAAAGCTGGTCAGATGTCTAAACTCAGACCCACTTCAGTCTAGGTATGTAGTGGGTAAACTGATTTATTTGTTGAATGAGTAGTGAGCAAAGGTGAACAGAAAAGCAGAGAATATTGACTACCTTAGATTTTCTAGGTCCTGGAAGGAGCCTTGTTCAATAAAGTCGAGGATGTTTAATCGGAGGCTGAGCTCTGTTATCTTCTACAGTTTACTGAGAGACTTCTTGGTTGCTTGGTTCAGCAGGCTGAGCTGTGGGTGGAGCTGGGTGAGGGCACTGAATGCTTTTGACTCATCTGCAACTTGTTGAAAAATAAACTGGTACCGGTCTCTTCAGAGGCATGAACCACTTATGGTCAATGTTGTGGATTTTGTTCTTATCAAAGCTAAATAAAACCAAGGGGTTATGAGGCCTTTGAATGTGTCCTGATGAGCGGTGAGATTATTTTGATTCAGGGTTTTGAGATTTCTTCATAAACAGAGGGAAAAAGCCCCAGGAGAACTTCTGGATGTTATTTACTAAGAGATTGAGATACCTAAGAGTTGAAGAACCTCCAACCTCTTCACAGCTGAATGACTTGAGCATGTTGAGAGACAAATCAAGTTTCTGAACCGCAGGAAGGATCAGAAGGAGGGTTCATAGGTGAGCACTTGCATTGTGGTGGATGTGTGAGATGTTGTTGGTTTAGAACATCCAGGATGTCCAGGTCTCTGAATTCTCCACCTTTTAGAGAAACTAACTGGTTCTAGCTCCGCTCCAGGTGTTTCAGCCTAAGCGATCCACCTGGGATCTCTGATCTTGTTCTTCTACAAGTTGATTGTAGTTTGTTATCAGGGAGGATGCTAACAAGATCACAGAGGTTGACAGAGTCACGGTTTGGCCACCACAGGACTTCTGTCTGGGAGCAGCATTTAAAGCCAAGAGTACAGCAGGCTGAGGTGCTGAGCAGAAGCACAACAGCTCACAGCATCTTGACATCACAGCTCCTTCAAGACTGCAGTGAGGTCAGGCCTGAGAAATCTGAAAGTGCAGCAAGCTTTATTGGCTCCAACAGCTAAACACAAAGGGATGTTCATCACTATGAGAGAGCTTTTCTTTGCATTCTTGTTGTCACGTACAAACTAGTCAGTGATGTAGTCAGTGGCTGATCTGTGATGATGGTAACGCAATTTTTATCTTGTGGCTGATGTCTGAGAAAATATAACCAACGTCGTGCAAAAGATCACCCCGGTGAGTTTCTCCCGTTTCTGTCATTCGTGTTGTTTTCCTTTGTATTGTCAGCACTAACCCCAGGGATGCTCATCTGGTTTTGTCCACTTGAGGGCGCTATCATCTTGGCTCTTACTGTTCCCGAAACAAGAAAGAAAAAACACCCAAACAGGCCACAGACGCATGTTTTTCTAAGAAGCATTCATATTATTTAATTTCACAATCATTATCGAGGTGGGGTTTTTTCTGGATGCTTTTGCAGAATTTTTCTGTAAATTAAAGGCAGATTTTTTTTCCAGCCAAGGAGAAAATCTACAAATCAAAGATTTATATTATTCTTTCATTTTCTCCTTCTACTCTTAGTAATACAAACTACCTTGCACTGATAAAGACTTTCAGCACCTTCATTCCACCCTATATAATCATTGCCTCTGGTTTAATAATCTATTCATTATTATTATTATTATTATTATTATTATTATTATTATTATTATTATTATTATTATGTATTTATGGGGATTTCTTTAACTATTTGTTTTTTTCTGATGTTCATTGGAGAGATCTAAATCTAGTCTAAATTTCTTTATATGTATAACAACAATAAAAAAAACTATTCTATTCTAATTATAAGAATAAGACCTAAAATAGATAGAAGAAGAGGACTGTTGTTTTTCATCTTGTTAGTTAGTGCAATGACAAATCATACAGTTTCCATGCACCCATCGCCTTCTGCTTATCCACTTCAGCCACCTTTCCCAGCTGCCATAGGGTGAAGGCCGGACAGGTCGGCTGTCTGTTGCAGAAAACGAAAACATAAATTCAAAGCTTATTGTTCTTTCTTTAGCAGGAAAAAAAAACGTGTGATATTGCAGGGACTAAATGTTGAATTTGCTGTTAAAATGAGCAGACAGTCATTTTTGGCCTGACCTCTTGAGGTCGAACATCCAGCGGTGGCTCTTCTGGTCGTGGCAGCTGACCTTTGCTGCTGCATCTGGAGTGTGATGGTGGTGACGGGGCTAAAAGACGTGGGGCAGCCCTGCTCTCTGCGTCAGTCCTCGGGGGAGACAGGTCTCAAGTTTAGTTTATGTGGAGGTCGGCCCCGCAGCCAACCTTAGTAGTCGCACAGGTAACCCAGCTGATGGGCTTTGGCTTTAGGAGCTGCTTCACCTTTAGGACAACGTAGGCAAATTCAGGTCACGGTGCCTCTTTGGATCTATTTGTCTTTTTTTTTCTCCCCTGTTTTTCTTTCTATCGATAAAGACTACAATGATAGTATTTGGCTTTGAGATTGCTCACCGTGCAGCAAAATGTTCAAATTAGTACCTTTTCTTTGCAAATATTGATTAAAATCTTCCCATTTTTCATTATTTTATGTGTCTTAACCCCTATTTTGCTCTGTTTTTGAAAAGAATGGATGTGTTTGTGTGTGTAATCCATTTTATTTTCAGCCCAACACGACATCATCCATATAAAAACATTAGCCTTTAAAACATTTTACATTAATTACATTTATTTTCAGTACAATATTTACAAATCAGCTCAGAGGATTATCTCTTGTCATGATCATTAATGTGCACGATTGTTTAAATTCACCTGTAAAAAAAATGCTGATGTAACATTTTTAAAATGTCTAAACGTCCTTTAGTGTATCAGAAAAAAAACTCCTCCAGATTTTTCAGTCATTCTCTGTTTACTTTATACGGTGCAAAATGTTTCTGTGAACAACTGAGAAACACAGCTGATGAAAGTCTGAGGCATGCCAGTAACCAAAAACAAAACTACACGCTGGATGGGTTCTGTTATATTACAGCCAGAGGAACAAGCAGAGTTTCAGTTGTCAGTAGCTGTTAAAGGGCTTGGAGGACAGTGGGCTTCGAGTCGCTGTATGGATGGGGGTCTCTTTGGGGGTTTGGCAGAGGAGGAGATGTCGGTGAACACTACTGATCGGCCGTCGGGGCAGAGCAGGACGCTGGAGTCTGCCTCACACTTGGTGGTTCTGCTTGCCCACAGAGCCTCAGCAGGACTGGGCCTCAGGCCAAGGCCACCAGGAGACAGGACCTCTGTGTTCACCACTGACGCCTGACTCATCTTGATCAGCATGTCCAGCGACTGTTTACGACTCTCAAGTGAAGCCCTTATCACCTTCCTCGCGCTCTCGTCCTCCTCGTCCTCTCTTCTCTCTATCAGCTCCTCGTCCTCGTCCTCTGTCTCAGTTGCGTTTTCCTTAAGACCCCCATCTTCCCTCCTGCTCTGATCGCCAATCGACTCCGTCGAGTCCCTCTTTACTGACAGGTCGAGAGGCCCATCGCTCTGGCGAGCTGTTCGCTCCAAAGCCTGGTGAATGTGAGAAAGCTCGCTGCGGATTTTGTTAAGGTGCTCCCAGAGATGTCTCTGGGCAGGAAGGTCTTCCTTCTCTAGGTGGGAGATTTTGCGCTCGGCCTCGTGGTACTCCTGCAGCGCCTTGGAGAGGTCACCAAGCAGAGCAGCGACAGACTCAGACGCCCCGATTGTCCTGGCGGCAGCTGAGTCCTGGCTGTTGGGTCTTCCACAGGTTGAGAGAGAAGATGTTTCGCTGGTGGGGCTGGTGAGAGGATCGTTGTACCACAGCTCAGTGGGCCGACCTTGAACATGAGCATCCTGCAAACTAAGAAAGAGTGAAAGAAAAGAGTTAAATAAATACTCCTAAGAGGTTTAATCTACACCACAACTACTACCAATTTTATTACGAAAACAGTTCTGAGTTGTTTACCTGTCTGAAGAGAAGAGAAGTTTGTCTGTCCCCACATTAAGAGTCGATGCAGTTTGAATATTTTTCAGAAGGTCTAAAGTCAAGCCCAAGTTCGGCTTCTTCTCCGCAGGGGCCTCTTGGTTTCTTAAAGGAGCTCCTGCCCTCTTCAGACCCCAGCTTGCTCTGCCTTCCTTGGCTGCAGC